ATCCCTGAACACCCGTGTCAAGTCCTCTCCAAGCCATTCCGTCAGTAGAAGTTTCTGGGTATGTTCTACCTCGCGGAGAATGGGACCGGAAACCTGCGATTGTTGTCAATATTAGGGATCAAGGAGAGCACCGTTGTCACGGTGCCAGAAGGAACGCCATACTATGTAGCAAGATCCCTTTTCTGCAGGGTTCAAGGCCAGCGTCAGCACGGCTGTGGCTACACCTTCAGTCGTATTGATCGGAAGGCCCTTCGCTTGCCACGCCTCGGAGAATTCGCCTGCCATGGCCGTGGGAGTAACAAACGGAGCAACAGCGTTGACTCGAATGCCGTACTTGCTCGCAGCCAGCTGCGATCCACGCAGCATCCCTGTCACCGCGTGCTTGGAAGTGATGTACCCTGATACACCTGTGCCACCAAAGTAGCCCGAAATCGAACTCACAAGGACCACTGCGCCGCGCGATCCATCTGGGTAGCATGGTTGGTTCCCCTTCATACTGAATATAGCATGGCGGAGGCAGTTCATGGTTCCCTTCACATTTATATCAATGACTTTGCAAAACTCGTGCGACTCTTTCAGGTTTCCATGTTTGTCGATCTGATCCATGTCCAACACTGGCTTTCTTTCCATGACTCCCGCGTTGGCGATTACCAGTTCTATTGAACCGAATCGCTCCTTAGCGGACTGGAAGAGTGCCGTGATCTGATCCCACTTCACGATGTTCGTTGCGACGAACTGCACTCGTCCCCTACACGAACCAGGAAGATCCACGATCATTGTCTCCACTATGGGACGTGTGTGTTCCAAATCTGCCACTACGACATTCGCGCCATGTTCCAGTAGTAGTTTTGCGATGGCGGTGCCAATTCCCCCGGCGCCACCGGTCAGGACAGCAGTTTTGCCGGTGAGGTTGCAGAGGAGCAAGGGATTGAGCGTGATGTCGCGCATGTTTAATTTGAAAAAAAAAGAGTTGTTGGCAGGCCAAATATGTGGTACGTGGTATAAAAGGAGCCTATATACCTACAGTCGTGCAGCCTTTGCCTATAAACCCATCCTCTCCCCTGAGTAAGTCTCCATCGGAATTCATGCATGTGCGCACCCATATAGCCGAAACACTGCTGCGTCGGAGATGAATGAGTGCGCCTCGTGATTTATGGATCATATCTGGAGCAATTATCTACTGATGCCCATTGTAATGATACTTTTAACACGTAACACTTTCAATTGCACAGTACTCGTAGTCCTATTTCCAAATAATAGCTCACATATAACGTCGTTTCAACCATGCACTCGATACATCCTAGCCAGAGCCGATTTATTCAAAGCGCCCAGAGCCTCTGCAGCTGCCCAGTCGTCCTGTTGTTCTCCCTTGTATAGAAGAAATGTAATATTAATGCCAGCCCTGCAGTAGCATACCCAGCTACCGCGCAGACTGTGTTCCCAGTAGGAAACCCACGGTCTTCCTCTACCGATCTCCAAATCCACAATGCTAAGATGGAAGCCAGCCCAACCATGGAGTTGTTCATTGCGGCGGCAAGTCCCAGTGTCCTCGTAGAAGGGGTGTTACATGTCACCCACGCCGTCAAGGGTGCAAGACTGGGGAAGGCACCGCATGAGGCGACGATGAGACATCCATATCGGGGCAAGTAAGCCTCCGCTGGAAGCAGGCGGCTAGCAAGAAATCCGGTACCTGTAAGCACCCCTGCGAGACAGACATGGAGCCCACGAGCGTTGAATCGGTCCGCAGACCAGGCTAAGAGTATCGAGATTACGTATCCAACCGCCCACGGGGGAACAGTCATCAGCTGGGCCTCGATGGACGTATACCCCAGGCCCTTAACTATAGTAGGACTGAAGTAGGCCAAAGAGCTCGTCACGATATTGTTCGTAAACTAATATTCCTTGTTAGTGATGATGATTCTCGAAGGTTCTACCAGAAGCTGTGGACAACATACATAAGCTAGGTAATGAAGGAGCATCCGCAGGCTGCACAAAGTCTCGCAGACTTCTCCCCTAGACGCCCGATCCCTGGTGGGTATGCCTCCATCCTGCTCCAGTCTCTCAATCGCAAAGCGGTGTTCCGAAAGCGTCAGCCACTTCGCCGTGGATGGGTAGTTAGGCAACCCCAAAAACACCAAAGGAGCGACGAGGACTGTTGCTCCTCCTTCAATGATGAACAGCCAGCGAAACCCCTCGAGCCCGCCTTTTCCGTTTAAGAACGCCACACCGTAGGCGATGCAGCCTCCAAAGGCCCCTGCAAGCGTCGCGGTTGCGAGAATGAAGGCAATGCGGATGGAGCGCTCTTCCTGTCGGTACCAGAAGGTGATGAGGTAGACCATTCCAGGGAAGAATCCAGCCTCGAATACTCCGATCAACACACGTAGCACCATGACCTTGGGCATGTTATCCACCCTCGCAAAGCCGAGGGTCACTGCACCCCAACAAAGCATTAGCGCCCCCAGCCAGTATGACGGGCGAGCATAGCGTTTTAGGATCCAGTTGGAGGGCACGTCGAACAGCGCATATGCCACAGCAAACAGTGTAAGGGTGATTGAATAGCCTGTGTCGGTCATTCCGGTTTGTTGCTCGAGCGAATCACCGGTTTCAGCGTTCAGGACCTTAGCATTGCCGATGTTCGAGCGATCCAGGTAGTTCAACAGGTAGATAAATGCGCACAAGGGAAGCAGACGCCAGTCAATTTTGCGAAGGAGTTGTTGATGGCGGATTGTGATGGCTTCTGCATCGGGAGCCCCCTGGGATACATGGTCAATGTGATGTGTTTCGTCGATTGATTTCTCCTCCATTGTTTCGAGTTACTGAAGCTCGACGCATTGAGAAGAGAGCCAAAACTGGGGAATGGCTTGACGCTCTTATACGCTGCTGCGGGGACCCCGCATTCTCTGTCGTAGGTGTCCACAGTACCAGTACCCTAGTACATCTGGAGCATAAGTGATTCCTTCAAAATTAATCTCACCTATCCAGTTGACCTTGTAAGCTCCCGTGGCTGTATGAGCAATACTCGTGCATGTTCCAGTCTAAGCCAGTTCAGTGAGGACAGCTGAGTGAAACTGACCCATCATCCTTCACACGAAGGGAGGCATGGCGCCAGTCTCGGAGGGGTGGATGTTGCCGCAATAAGTCCAGGAAGGTTTTTGTACAAAATAACTAGATATTTTTAGAACCGGAAGATAAGCTAATAGTACTTTTAAAGTGGTTATATCCTATAACCATATATACTTCAGTTGCTGTTGTTGGGATAACTGGCTGTATGGAACATACAGCCCCCCCTGGGGGCGCGCCTAGTCTCGCCCAGGAATTTACCATGAGAGAACTAACTTGGAAATAAATACTACGCAGATAAAAAAGGATAAAGCATAGGAATAGTGCCAAACATAATGCAGGTCGCTTTTTGGTCAAAGGGTTAGGCCGAGTCACACATTTATCTAACTATTTACACATTGGGTACTGCACTCTCCAAGACAGGTTTTAGAAACAAAAACCTCTCACTTCTTGCCCTCAAACTTTCCCGATGCAACCGGAGCAGCATACCCTGTGAATTCCCCTGTCTCCTGCAGAATGAGCGGAATTTCGTCCTCCGCCAAGGAGGCAAAGGTCCTCTTCTCCCGAGGCTCCCAACCCAGCTTCCGGAGTCGATTAGCACGATTACGTGCGTTGGATCCGATCACAAGGCCCGAATACTCGCCAAACAGATCGTTGTAGTGCTCAGTAGGGATGGTCTTGGGAGTCGGATCGGCCACCTTGCCTGCCTTATGCAGGATGCGACCAATCTCCGCAGCACACTGTCCCCATGAGAGCTCCTCGCCGTTCTCGCAGAAGAAGTAAGGGTTCTCGGCGACCTCCTCGCACGAGGTCTGTTCCAACCAGTGTAGGAGAGTTAGGTAACCGCGAGCGAGATCCTTCACATGCACCTGATTCCAGACAGCGAGGCCGTCACCGACCATACCGGGATAGCCATGTTTAACCGAGTACCGCACCATAGTCGGCAGCTGGATAGAAAGTCGCTTCTCGCGTGTGCTGACACCGTAAATAACTGGCGGAATCATGATAGCAAACTTGGCATGGGACGAGAGCTCTTTCCGCGCATTCACAATAGCCAGGTCAATCTCCCGGTGGGCTGCGGAGTCCGGCAGCGCGTCGATAGAGCTTGGCTTCTCGTCGTCAAAAACAAAATCGTTCTTGTAAGACCCCTCAGCGTTATCACCGATGAGACTGGCACCACTGGTGTGGATGTAGATGGTTCGCTGCCCGCGCTGGGTGCGTTGTCGGACCCCTTCCAGAATGGCCTGGACAGAGGGCAAGTCGTCGGCGGTGGCGGTGTGGATTACGATGTCGCTGGCGGCTGTTTGCTTCACAATCACATCTTTGTCACTCAGTGAGCCGAGGACAGTCTGTACGCCGAGCTCGTGAAACGCCGGACGGGCGGCTTCTCTGCGCACAAGAGTGGTGATCTCATACTTCTTTTCCTTGAGTAGGAGGTCGAGCACCTCTCCACCGATCAGGCCAGGGCCTACTAGGAAGACAGACAGCATAGCGAGAACTTGGGAGGTTTTAGCTTTGATCAAGCAGCGTGATGATGTCAAGCGTATTGATTATTGATCATTGCTTGGTCTATGTGTCTGTCTGCTGTGTTTTTATATCTCGGGGCTCTGTTCAGGGTTGTCCGGCTATATGGTTTACTAATGCAATCATCCCCTACGGTGGAAACAACCCTCCGGATACCAACGGAACCTTTGGAACTCTCCGAAGTCGAGGACGATGTGACAAAATTACAATTGAAACTCTCCGAAGTCTATGATGGGTATGATGTTATTATTTCTTGAGTTCAACAATGTCTGGAACTGGTCAGAATGGATAATGCGAACTGCTCAAGTTGGCTACCATTACATGCATGTCATGGCTTGTACATAGCCCTTCACTTAGTTATTGATTGTCAACTGTACAAAAACGAATAACAGCGGCCAGGGAAGGAAATTCTCCCCTTACGACAGCGAGATGTAAATAGACTTCACCTCCGTCCACGCCTCTAGGCCTTCATCTCCCAGCTCGCGCCCAGTGCCGGATCCCTTGAACCCTCCAAGAGGCAAGTCCTGACAGTAATATGGCGATGAGGTATTAACACCGATCGAGCCTGCCTCGAAGTACTTTGCCACTCGTATGGCTCGGTTGATGTCCCGAGTGAATACGCTGGCATACAGTCCGTATTCAGAGTCGTTTGCCGCGCGGATCACATCGTCTTCGCTGCTGAAAGTGTTGAGGCAAGAAACGGCTCTGCAAACAGACCATGTTAGCTCCACGACCATCAGGTTTCTCGCGGATGTGAATGGGGAGCCAAAACAAACCCGAAAATTTCGTCCTTCATAATAGAATGATCCTCGGGCACCTCGTGGAACACAATCGGGGAGACAAAGTTTCCCCCGTCCCGCGGTGTCAATTCCCCGATAGGCAGGCGCTTGAGGCCATCCTTCTGGGCCTCCTGCAGATACTTGGAAATGCTCTCGAACTGCTGTTTGTCTGCCTGGGGACCGAACCCAGTCGTTGCCTCGAGGGGGTTGCCCGCCTGCCCCGCAACCGCCTGGATAGCCTGTGCATACAGCTTCTTAAATTGGTCTGCAACATTCTCTTGAATATACACCCTTGAGGAAGCCATGCAGACCTGACCAGAATTGAAGACGATAGAAAAGGCGGCCACCTTTGCTGCTTTTTCCAGATCGGCGTCTTCAAACACGATCAGGGGGCTTTTACCACTGTTTCGTTCCCTCACAATTAGCTCGCGCTCAATTTAAAAGGCATTGACAGGGACAAACCCTAGTTCTAATGTGCAAGACTTGAGATTTGAATCAACCGCAGCTTTTTGGATAAGCTTGCCAGTCTTGGTGCTGCCCGTAAAAGCTATCTTCCGGATGTCCATGTGTCGAGCGATGGCATCCCCACACGGCAGGCCAAAACCAGATAGAACATTCAACACACCTGGGGGAAACCCAGCTTCCTTGGCCAGTCGCGCGAAGAGGAGTGAGGTTAGTGGCGCCTTCTCAGAGGATTTGAGCACAAGTGTGTTGCCCGCAATGAGTGCAGGGCCAACTTTGAAACAGATCATGATCACCGGGACGCTGTTGCAAGATTAGCAACCGCAGCCGCAATGCAGAAAGGCAATCCGGTACCTACTTCCAGGGAATAATCGCCCCGGTGACACCGTAGGGCTGCCGGATGGATATATTCAGATGGTTCTTGGAAGTTAGGGAAGTGACCCCGTGGATATCCAGAGCCTTGCCAGCGTAGTCTGCGTTTGTGCGTAACGCGTTAAGCTTCCTGTAATAATGAGTTCGAGCGAGTACACGGGAGAAACATACATCTCAGCGTTGCTGTACCCATCACCTGATCCATATAAGTTGATACAGGCTTCCCCATCGAAAGAGCTTCCAAGCGCGCAAACTCCGCCGCATGTTCATCGACAAGGTCAGCCAGCCTCAGCATGAGGCGTCGCCGATCGGATCCTGCTCAGAGTAGTCAGCAACATGAGCTTCTCTGGCAGTATACCCGAAGAACGGAGTCCAATACCGTCTAATTCTGACCAAGTTGGAAAGGCCCTTTTCGCACTCTCAACTGCTCGGTTCACATCTTCTGCCTTGGCCTCTGACACTTCTGCTACAGTCTCGCCGGTGAAGGGGTTTGTGACCTTGAATTTGGAGCCGTCAAGAGAAGGCACAAACTCTCCATCGATGAAAAGACGGGTCTCGATCTCAGGGGTAGTCATGATGATGTCCGTGATGACTGAAAAAGTAAATCAGTTAAAGACTTTGCAGCGCAAGTAGACCCCATGACCTTTGACATATCAAGCCTATATATCGATTTCAGCAGACAGACAATGCTTCATGTGAAAATCGTCCTTACCCGATCCGATATCCTGCTCACATCCGATAGTCTTCAATAAGGGTCCAATAGCCCGCATGCTACATCCAGGTCTGCGAGGACGAGGAGGGGGACGGGGGAGAGACGGAACGGGGTCTGGGGCACCCATGTTGCCGATAGGCCAGGACCACCCACCCCGCTTGTTCCTCCCCCAATTTTCCCCATTGTCAAGCAATCTAGCCAAATAAGTTCAAACAAGGTGGGCAACACAGACGTACTAGCCCTTTAGTTTGGGCCTCTTTACCGGCATATCATCGGAAGGCGAAAAGGGAGCCCGGATTAAAAAGAGCGCTAGTTCTTCCTCGTGAGAGGAGGTCCAAAAACAGGAACAAAATACCTTCCAATCCAAGCTTTCTCGACTACGGTTTTGCATCACAATGGCCTACCCTACGGAAGCCCTAGTTGTATCAGCGGTGGGGAACGAACCCCAATTTGGCCCCGTGATTCTGGATACCATACGAGACGATGAGCTCTTGGTGGAAATCCACGCTACGGGGATCTGTCACACAGACATTGCTTGCATCGAGGGCAAGTTGCCGGCTGAGTTTCCTTGTGTTTTGGGACATGAAGGTGAGAGAATTTACCCTAGGTCTTCAACACCACTGCTGCTAAACACGACGGGGCACCAGTAGAATTCTCTTTTGTACTGACATTCAGGCAGGCGCTGGGGTGGTTCTCCGGCCGGGGAAGGGGGTAAAGGATGTCAACGTGGGCGACAAGGTCATTCTTAGCTACAACTTCTGCACGGACTGTCACCAATGCCTGTCCGGCCAACCTGCCTACTGTGTCAATTTGATAGCGCAGAACTTTGGCGGCAAGCGGCTGGACGAGAGCAGAACTATACGCCTTCCCAATGGTGAAACAGAGGTGTTTGCCAATTTCTTCGGTCAAAGCTCTTTTTGCCGCGTTGCCCTAGTCAATCGTGCCTCGGTGGCTCGCGTTGCAGCGGATACTCCGCTAGATATATTTGCTCCCTTGGGGTGCGGGGTGCAAACCGGGGCAGGCGCGGTCCTGAACACTCTCAACGTGCGGGAGGGTACCTCGGTGGCAGTGTTTGGGGTGGGCGCAGTTGGTCTGAGTGCTATTATGGCGGCGCGGCTTCGAGGAGCGAGCATTATCATTGCTGTGGATCTAGAGAATTCACGGTTAGAGATGGCGCGTGAACTGGGGGCAACCCATACACTGCTAGGGGGGTCAGAAAAAGTTCTGCAACAAATCCGTGAAATTTGTGCGCCCTCCAACGGCGTGGAATTCGCGGTTGACTGCTCGGGGGCTACGCAGGTGATAGAGATCATGTTGGATTCGTTGGCCACCCGTGGACGAGCCGCCAGCGTCGGTGCCCCAGCGCCAGGCAAAAGAGCAGGTGTGGATGTGTTCTCTCATCTAACACTTGGACGGGAGTACGTAGGTTGTCACCAAGGGTCGAGTGTTGCCGAGAAGGTATGTTGTTCTATGGGCAAGGCCGTATCTAAATTCGCTACTTACAAAATTCCGAGCTCCTAGATGATTCCTTACTTGATCGAGCAGAACAAGCAAGGCAAGTTCCCAGTGCAAAAGCTAATTACATACTATCCGGTCGAGCACTATCAACAGGCGTTTCACGACTTGAAAGTTGGGCGAGCAATCAAGGCGGTTCTGCTGTGGAAGGAAAGCGTTTCGAACAATCGAGTCTTGCCAACAGATAGACACTCCACTGGCAATCTTACTCTTTGAACTCTAATTGATATGGTTATGCAATAATTAACGAAAGCAAGCCCGACGCCACCCGGTAGGCATATAGCCGCGGTAAATGAGATACACCAGACGCACTTCCGATGCTACAAGGGTCATGAATCCGAAAAGCTAGAGCGAGCTTGGCAGGCTTCTCTCGGCTCCCAAGAAATAATGGGCCTTTATTGCTATTGCATCATTAAGCACACTGTTCAAAGTGCGACTCGAAAAATTCCAGTACCGCCGGTGGCAGCTGACGATATTCTTGCAGCCGGCCCCGCACAATGAGGTCGTGCAACGACGCCTTCTGGTACCCCTTCACCTCCCAAAAATCCTCTCCCATCATTTGAGTCTGTTGCCCTGTTCCCCAGATTTTGCGGCAGTAGAACGCCAGCGCAAAGTTGCTCCCAGTTGCGACAGAGGTCTCAACCAACTCGTTGATGGACTCAGCAGATTCATGTCTGCTGCGTGTCCTCGAGCCATGCTGCTCTGTTAACATGCTGACGATTTCGCTTCCCGTTGCTCTGATCTCGGACAGTGCTATGGTGCGGTCCTTGATTTGGTCAATGGGCGTTGAGGCGAATATGGAGGCGTAGGCGGCGGCAACATAAGGTCGAGTGCTAGCTTGGTGTCAGAGATTGGTGCGCGGGCGCAATTGAAACATTCTGAACCGTAGTCTCACGTACCAGAGATTAAGAGCCTTGTGTTCACTTTCGCCGGTGAAGATAATTCTGTTGTTGTGACGGTCCACTCCCATAGCCCTGAGCAACCCCGTTAGCCAACAATCTTCCCATCAATCTCCCCATGTAAAGGAAAGAATGGAATACGTGCAATGTAGCTAAGGCAAACTCAGCGAAATTGCCGGTGAGGACCACTGTCACCGGAATACCGGCAGCACGCGCTGCTCTCTCAACCTCGTCCTTGGCGTGGTTCACTGGAATACGCAACCCCTGCTCGTCATACCGCGCAGCGAGATCTGAAGGGACGAAGAGCCGAACCTTCGTCTTGGGGATAGCATTCACCAGACCAAGCTGGCGGGTGACACCTTCGTGCCCTACAAGAGATCTAAACTGCACAGTTGGCTTCTCGTACTTCTCAGTGGCACCCCAAGAATTGTGAACTTACATGACAATATCCACATCCTGCAAAGCAGCAATGACTTTCTCCTGATCGGCCAAGTCGACCGCAATCTTGGCAACCGAGTCGGGCAGAGAAGAAATATCGGACCCCGGCCGGTAAAGTACCTTGATAGGCGCTCCCGAGTCAATGAGGGCTGCAACAATCACCGAGCTGGCCCATCCCCGATGGCCGTAAACCGCGATCCGATTGAAAGACATCGCAAGATAGTATTCGAATGTTTGTTTTGCGTCGAATAGACTGTGGCTTTCAACACGTTTTGCTGTATTCTCCGGAATGTGTCCTTTATATCCATGTACCCGGGTTAACTTCGGGCTGATTTCTAGGGTATTCTAGGTGCCCGAAGCTCCACCTATGAGATCATCACGGACTTTGCATTGTTTGTTCCATTTGGTTGCCATGTTTGACTACCTTAGTTCATCCAATCACAAATATCGGATCATAGCATGCCTTCCACCAGTTTCATCATTGTTATGAGTATGGATTACTAAAGGTACAAATGGTACTATGGTCAAGTCTTTAAGTCGATAAGTTATGCAGCACCGCAAGTCCGTGCTAGTTGCCCAACGGTAGGGGGGAAAAAGTTTGGCAGAAGCATATAATCTGCCATGTCCATGGCCAAGCCCCGATCAAATTCCATGGCGGGAACCTCTGACCAAGCGGAATTCTCCACATCTGAAGATCCTGGAGCGTGAGGTTGCACAGCGGGAGCGTGATTTATGTCCACGGACGGCGTGTTCATTCGGAAGCCATGACTGTCAACCGGCAGTATCTGAGCTTCTGCAGCATCGGCTGCGTCCGCAGCAAACAGAAGAAATTCAAAAACTTTCATCGCCCAGACCCCCGGGTCCCAGGTATTTTGCGCTTGATTCAAGAGCATTTGGCAGTTATCGAAGCTGGCCCGGATCATTTTCGCTAGATGGGTGTTCTGCTCCTGTTGCGCCTGCTGGTAGAGTATGATTCCTGCCATGAAAAACCCAGGGAATACTTCGTGGGGGATATTGCAGATGGAAGTCCGCGTCATGAGTTTGATGGCGCTCGAGGAGACAACTAGGGCCGCTGACTCTGTAATGGCAGCGTAGTCGTAGCCGCCGGGCAGCGACGTTGAGAGAGACGACGGATTAAGTCCTGGTCGTCGGGGTTGCTCCATGTGGAGTAGCATGATATGATAATTAAGCAGGATGTCGAGTTGCACAGCCAATGTCGATACGGAGGATTGACCTGGCAGGCATTGCATAGGGACTGGAAGCTGTGCCTTCCAGGTGGCCAGTTGCTCCTGGAGTAGATCAGTTGTGAAGCTTACACTGGTCGGCCCAAACCGGAAGTACATAATGTCTCGGAGGATAATTGATAGCTTCGTGACTTGAATCTGGTACTCGAACGACTCGCGGCAACTGCAGCTTAATTGGGTCGTTGGGAATCGGCACGTGTGTTCGTCGGGGAAGTCATCCTCCGTTAAAGTATCAATATCGCATTGGGCCATATTGATGCGGAAGGGACGACCCAGCAGGGCGGAACAGTGGGCATCGCGGACGGCTAACGTCCACCATAACCGTCTGAGCAGGCCTCGGTCATTCGATTTCCCATTGATTGCAACGGATTTGCGGTGCATCCCAAGGGCCACGGCCATCGTCACCCCGAACTCGATCCACGAGCATGGGTTCCAATAGCAATCCATCTGAGGGCCCTTGAAACTTAGCAGGATGGCCACCTTCACCAGAATTATTTTATTATTTTCGTAATTAAGATCGAAAAGAGCCTTAGCCCGATCGTAGTAGAGCTGACGCGCCTGTGGGCGAGAACTAAAGCCAGCCTTGTAGATCAGGGCAGGCTCGCAGAACGTCATCGCGATAAAACAGATTGAATGAAGCAAGATCCACGGCAGTTTCCGCTCCTGTTGCGCCTTGCGTAATTCTGTCGGATTCACGACCGAGTATAGGGGATAAAATCGATGCAAAAAGACGTTTATCATCTCCTCCAAAACTTCTGATTCTGGGTAAATGAACGCCCCCTTCGCCTTCAGACACTCAATTTCATGCGGAAGTAAGTGTTTCGGATGGACGTTTTTTTCGACTACAGTCAGCGAATTACTGGTCAAGACACGTTGATTGGCGTCGTGGAGGCCCGAGTTCATGTCCCTCCGCAGCTGTAGGGCGAAAGTTAAGGGCGAAGGTTCCCCGAACAGAACCAGCTTCGCCTTGCACAAGTCTTCGTGGCCCGCCTGGCCGAGGAAATCTTCGAACATGGCCGACAGTGATCGGTGGTCGAACGAGCCAGCCGAGAAGGTAGAGGGTACACTGTCGGGCGGGCGAGTCAAATCTACGCCAGGAGTGTCGCCGGTTGGCTGTTCTAAGTTCGAATTTCTTTCCTGCCGATATGTCGCAGGAGTGGAGATCGGCCTGTTCTCTCCGACGAGGAGCTGGGGCGGGGTAAGAGCCTCAACTCGACCGTGGCCGCTGGATGCAGCTGACGGCGATGAAGGACTAATCTGAGCAGTTGACGGGCCACGCGACGAGGGCGGTAACACTGACGGTGGTGATGTTGATGATAAAGATGGGCCAGGCCTTGCCACCTGCCGTCGGAAATTTTTTCGATCATAAGTGCCTCGGCGGGAGGTAATCAGTGTACACTCCGAGACATTGTCCATGCGACACCGGCTACAAGGACAACCACGCTCGGTGGCATCACATTTGACCTTGCGCCGACTGCATCTCTGACAAGCCTTGGAGGCTCGCAGTCGGTTTTTCCCGCCGGCCGGAGAGACCATGCTGGTCCGTGGGAGAGGGTGTGTTTGGTGTGCGAGCAAATGCAGTCTAATTGAAGAAAGTGGCCTTAGGATAGTTGTGTCCAGTGCTTTCTGTGTGCCATGTGCTTCAGAGTGTCCTTCCCTCTGTCCCCCCGCATTCGGTTTTGGACACGGAAAGGAAGTGGAACTTGGAGCTGGAATGGAAACAGGTTCCGCCACTTGCAGCTGCCAAGGCTTATTCAGCTGCCAGCTGCTGACAAAGCTAATCAGAGAACCGGAATAATCTAGTTTGAACAGTATATATCCAGCATACATTATTGATATTCACCTATGTATGTACTAAGGGGTTAAGATGTCGAAGCCTGAAAAGCGGTTCAATCTGTAGCCTGAAATTGTTTGCTGATTCCAATTTCGCATCCTGCCTATTGACTGCTATTTTTGTTTTGTCCCGAAGCGTACCCAGTAAGAGTTGCAAGGGCTTCGTGTATCCAGTTGCTTGGGCCCTCCTATTGAATTGCCAACCACTGAAATGTTTCTTGCCGTATTCTTGGTCAAAACAGGTTCAGGGCCTGGTGGAAGAGGAAGGCGGTCCGAAAAGCATAAAGAACCTTTTTTTCTTTTTTCACCAAAAATAGGTCTAGTGGCCCGCCAGCAGCTCGCGATTTCGAAATATATGTCTTCCGAACAACCAAAAATTATATGTAAAGGCACTTTTGCCAAAATGCGGGCCCAGGAATGTATTTACAACAGGATAACAGAGCAGATACACGGACAGTCACATGGACGAGACAAGATGTACCTCGAAGATCAGGATCAGAAGCAATAGTCGATGTTCAGGCAGACAGTCAGGGCGGGCAGGCAGCCTTCATCCTGAGCACCTAGTTCAGAATGGAAAGCCGAGCCGCACTGTGACACTTTTCCATAACAATAGTAGCTATCCACTATTATTAGTGATACAAATATATAATTCGTATAGTACTTTGTGAATATTTCGGGATATTAATAGCCTGGAACCCATATAACTTTTAGTATGTTTTAGTATGCCCTGACAGAGTCACAGGTAGGGCTCCGAAAGGAATAAAGGAATATGAATATGCGGCGTATTCATATTCGCATTCATATTATTCATATAATTTCGGATTTCGGATTTACTCATACTCCGTCCCAGCCACTCATGAAACCGTGGCTATGCGGGAACTGCTCCACTGCCTGCTTGGCAGCTTCGCAGTTAGCTTCGCTTATTATGTACATATTTCTGCCTTCAATATACGCTTAAGTTGAGGGCCTGGCTCCGCCCGAGCCTGTGTCTGGGGGTTCCCCAGGCCCTCTCTTGACCCCTGTGTGCCCAATGACCTCAGTGCTCCGCCTGATCTATTTCCCTACTGTCAACGGCTCCGAATTGCCCGAGGAGCCCAGTTTGTATCATAAATTTGGCTGCTCGGATTGCGAGCTTAGGCGTGTTAAGGATTTTCTTCAGACTCCCTTCTCCTTCCGGCCCCCCAATCCTTCTGCCAAATATCTCCTCGCGTAGGCTTTTGAAAAGACGGCAGGCAAGGAGTACATGTTGTACTGTCTGGGTTGCTTTGCCGCATTGACAGTCTCCGTCTGGTATGTCCGGCACTCCTCGTTGGTAGAGGTAGTGTCGGAGCCCTATCTTCCCTGTGCGCATCTGGATGATGGCCGTACTAAGTGCCCGGTGAAGGCTCTGGTGGACCCTTAGTACCTTCTTTGTCGGGGTTGGCGTCAGCTCGTGAACCATCCTGCCATGGGGGCTCGACCCACTGGCGCATGGTTAGGCTTCATCAGTGCCATTCAATCGGTGGGGGGCCTGGTGGGCATGCCTCTGCAAGCATGGTGCAGTAATAAATTTGGCCGGAAATCATGTATCTGGGTCGGCTACGTGTTCATCATTATTGGTGTGGCCATGCAGACCGCCGCTCCGAGTCCAACGTTGTTCATTGTCTCGCGCGTTTTCGTCGGTCATTCAGGCGCCTGGTTCCAAAGTGCTGCCATCCTGGTCACTGAATTGGCGTATCCGACCCATCGCTCCAAGCTCAGCGCCCTGTATCAGTGCATGTATTATGTTGGGTCATCATTGTCAGCCTGGTGACATTCGGTTGCCGAAATATGGATTCTTCATGGGGTTGGAGAATTCCCGTCTTGCTTCAGATCGCATTCCCGCTAGTCTCGCTCCCTATATGCTTTCTATGCCCTGAGAGCCCTCGGTGGCTGATTCGCAATGACGGACGAGAAAAAGCAATTAAGGTGCTAACAAAGTATCACGCCGGTGGCGACGAAGCATCGCCGCTGGTCGCGTTACAGATGCAGGAGATTACCGATTCTATCCGGCAGGAGGACGAGATGGCGAACAATGCTCGGTGGTCTCAAATGCTCAAGACGAAAGGGAATCGACACCGTTTCCATATCAGTGTCACAATAGGTATCGCCGCCCAGTGGAACGGAGTGTAAGTTGAGCCTCGATTTTCTCGATACAGCTATACGAACTTGGAGTAACATCATCATTTATCTTTCATAGGGGAATCGTCTCTTACTACCTTAACCTCATCCTGAATACCGTTGGATTTACTTCAGCTACACAACAGACCCTAATTAACGCTTGCTTGCAAGTATGGAATCTCATATTTGCAGCTGTTGGCTCCTTGCTCGTGGACCGTGCCGGCCGCCGTCTGCTATTCATTCTTTCCACCATCATCATGCTGGTAAGCTATATATGCTTGACAGGCCTGGCTGGTAGCTTCGATACCACGGGAGTCGCTGCCGTTGGCACCGCCGTCATCCCGTTCTTGTTCATCTACTATGCCGGCTCTGACCTGGCATATACCCCGCTGCTCATCGCCTATCCCGCTGAAACCTGGACCTACTCGCTCCGGAGTAAGGGTGTTGCACTCACCTACATGTGCACCTACCTTGCTCTTATCTTTAATCAGTAAGTGTCACCTGATGGTGTATTTCGGGTCTATTGTAAGCCCGTCTCGCTAAACGTCCCCGGTTAATCAGGTTCATCAACCCTATCGCAATGGATGCGATCGGATGGAAATATTACATCGTGTATATTTGCCTCTTAGTCGTGATCTTGATCAACGTCTGGCTCACCTACCCTGAAACTGGCGGATACTCCCTTGAAGAAATGGTCGTCGTGTTCGATGAAGTCGAGGCAGATGGGGCAACAGCAACCAAGGCTTCAGATATGGGAGTGGTTAGCCATCTAGAAGACCCTCACAACACGGAGAAATTGTGAATTTCCTGGTGTACAGGGATACATCTTTCTGTGTTTAGTGTTCGAAACGTCGGTGGATACGTAAATTGGTGCTACCGCTGGGTTTAGGGAGATTGATACTACTCTTTTACTTGGAATCATTTAGTCACCTGCTAGTTTTTGACAGATTTCGGGACCGATAGTATGATCAGAATAAGAGTGTTGATTAGTGTGTTTGACCTAAGTGAATGATGGGTAGATAAAGATGACTTGTTTATGATTTGGACGATTGAATTCAACGCTCCTAAACTTGAACAGAGGTGACCCCTGGAGAAACCTCAGTAAACACCATTTTCGATGTCCACCACCTGCACTTGTGCGATGATAGGACCCAGACTTGCACCGAAAGCAAGGTGTTTCGGGTCTTCCTTCGCGTAATAGTCGCGATCCTCGACAGATGCGAACTCGACGACGAAGACATGCGTAATGCCGTTCTGTTATTGAACAATCGGATTGGCTAGTGGCCAGTGGGTAAAAGGACAATTTGGCCCATACCTGCATTCCCTCCACAGAACACTCCTTCCCTCCTGTACTCGAAACAATGTATGGCTTTCCTGTCTTGGGGTGGAGGCACTCCTCCTTTAGCGAAAGCATGGTGTTAATAGCCTAAGCAGTGATAGGAAAGTAAGTCAGCTTGTCTGAAGTGCTAGCTTTAGGAATTGAGACATACGTCTTGTATAGTGGATTGGCTGACATCGCTCTTGAACTGGAGCTGGACAATATGCGTGACTTTGCCCATGATGGTTGATTCACGAATGTGAGGATTGCTAGGTATGATAGTATAGGACTCAGTTGAATTCTCCGCTAGCTTGCACTCGATGTCGTTGTTATATAGTACAAGTCGCGGTAGTTCAGCGGCTCTTTATCAACTTGAAGCGCCGCAAATAAAATATAGTTAAAGTCACTCTGTCTAATTCCTCCGTTGCGTTCTCCACAATTCCAGCTCATTAGTAAGTTATTATTTGAAATCAGATACTGCGCCGCCGGATATATCCTCCTGACGAAAGCCATATAGCCGGATCCGGTTCCCTACGTTGGCGGCCTGCGAAAGACGAGAACTTCCTGAACAAAAAAGGTCTGCGTCTACATGGCATGATGGCGCCCCTAGGATTTCACTGGGGCATTGTGTTATCCGCTGGAAGGTAGACTACGGCAAGCCATTGGGACAAATCCGAAAAAAAACAAAAATGCCTCAAACAAAATGGGCTTTCTGCCGGCAGAAAGAAGTTTTCGTACTGTCACAGTGCTAACTCAGATGTTGCCTGGGGCACCGTCGATGCCTTATCATCACACGACCCACACTGAGAATATCCTGCATCTTGATCCGCCTCCTGTTTGTAGCTTTTTGAGCTACGTCTTGTCTATGTACCTGTAGATAGCCTGACCTGTAGCTAGAGTTCCTGAGTGTCAACTACCTATATACTGCCGTCTGCCTGTTCCTGTAAACCCGCCTTGTGACACGAATGTACTAGGTTATGTGAACCCGTAAACGAAGATACAGGAAGCTCACTTCCAATAAAGACATTCATTGCTGAAACAGTCTCAGCAGATATAACGAATTCATTCTTGTATGCCTTGTACGAATACAGGAAGAGCCCTTTTTCGAAGTCATGTCCAACAAGGACACGGGTCAAGGGAAAGCTCAAAGAGATGACTAAGTGTCATTCAAGCTAGTTAACGTAATCAACCACCGAACCGCGAATTTTCGCCGCTCTCTCAAAATATTTGAATACACAAGTATCAACGCGTGCTATCCCTATCAATTTTATATAAATGTCTCAATCCAAAGAGGCCCGCATGCAAATGGCCATTTCTGCATATAAAAATCAAAAAATTAAATCAAAATCAAAAGCTGCTGAGGTATTTGGGGTACCTGAATCTACCCTTCGTGAGCGGCTTAGTGGGGTCAAACCACGTACAGAAACACGCGCAAACGGCCACAGAATGACAGTTATTGAAGAGAAATCTCTTGTTAAGCATCTCCTAGATGCAGATAAGCGGGGATTCTCAATTCGGCCTGAGTTTCTGCGTGGAATGGCACAGATTCTGCTGCGAGCGCGTACTCATGATCCTACTACAACCCTTGGTGTCAACTGGGCATACAAGTTTGTTAAACGCCATCCAGAGCTGTGTACAAGATATAACCGACGCATATCTTATCAGCGTGCAAGGCAGGAGGATCCAAAGATTATCAAACAGTGGTTTGAAACTGTACGCGAAGCTATCCAAGAGCATGGTATACATGAAGATGATATCTGGAACTTTGATGAGACTGGCTTTATAATGGGACTCTGTACTACCTCAAAGGTTATTACTGCAGTGGAGCACAGTAAGAGACCTCGCAGAGTTATCCAGGGGAACCGCGAATGGGTCACAATCATTGAGTGTGTAAGCTCAAAGGGGATTCCTATACCACCAGCAGTTATCTTAAAGGGGAAAGAACATCAGGCTGCTTGGTATCAAGAACCTAATCTCCCCCTGGATTGGAAGCTTACAAATAGCACCAATGGCTGGACAACAGATGAGATAGGTCTTAAGTGGTTAAAGCATATCTTTAACCCTTTTTCTAAACTGCATTCAACTGGTGCAAAGCGGCTACTTATTCTTGATGGCCATTCAAGTCACCAAACTGCGGAATTTGATGATTTCTGCAGGGAGAATGCAATTATCTGTCTTTGTATGCCTCCGCATACATCTCATCTTCTTCAACCCCTAGATGTTGGGGTCTTTGGGCCACTCAAACGCGCATACGGAAAACTAGTTGAGGGGATGATGGTGGCCGGGAACAACCACATTGATAAAGAGGATTTTCTACACCTATATCCTCCTGCACGCGAAACAGTCTTTATCCAAAGGAATATATGCAATGGCTTTGCAGGAGCAGGTCTTAAACCATTAGATAAAGACCGGGTTCTTGAGAAAATCACCTTTCAACTTCGTACGCCAACACCACCACCACTTCTTACTGATGGCTCAATCTCATCTACTTTTCAAACACCTCAAAATCCTCGCCAGCTTAATCATAAGGTTCGCAGCTTGCAGAGAAGCTTACAGAAAAGAAAGCTTTCTAGCAGTCCAGTCTCTCATATCCAACATCTTGAAAGGGCCGCGCAGATGGCAATGAACAT